TACACGGATGGCAATAATGCATCCACTGCAGTGACACATGCAAAATCAATATTTCATTACAGCCGTGGCGCCATACAGAGTATTGTAAAAATAAGCCCACAGGAGCTGACCCCAATTCAGTTCTGACTGAAATGTCATGACGGACAAAAGTGGTTTAAACAGCTCTTCTGTCAAATATTGGCATGACCATACACAACATACAGTGTTTCCCACATAATTTGATTCTATTTGTGGGGGCACCGAACCCCCCGGCAAGAAAAGCCAAAGGCCCCTTAACCTATTCGGGTGGCCTACGCATCCACCCCCCCCCCTCAAATAAGAAAATACATGCGAGTTCATGGCTACTGTAGACAACGTTCTTGTTGCTCTGTGTTGCGTTGTTAATGAGTGAGACACACTGGAGTTGAGAATCTGTGGGGCTTATTCTCCCAAAAATATAATTTACAATTTAGGCATTTAGCAGACGCCTTATTCCAAAGCGACTTACAATGACCAACTGAGGGTGCCTTACTCAAGGGCACACTAGTAGTGGTGTTCAAGGCGGGATTTTAACTCGCAACCTTCCGATCATCAGCCCACCTCACTATCCATTAGACCACCAACATTTAAATTAAAAATTAAAAATTATTATTAAAAGAAATTATTTTATGAGATCCATTTGTGGCGGACGATATTTAATTGTGGCGGCCCGCCACAAATAAACCAATGTATGGGAAACACTGACATATTAACATTGAGTGTCTTTTAAAAAAAGACATCCTTTGCAGAAAGACTGCAGATAGAACACCACAGAGCGTACAGGAGGGGGAAATGCTGTTAGGGTTGTTCAAAACATTGAATAAGGATGAAGTTACAGACTTCATTTAATGAAAAAACAACATATATGTAAATGTGTCATTTTTGGTTTGAAAAACTTGAATGGTAAGCTACTGGATATCAGGGACTTTTCTGTCCCCAGCGGATGAACCCTCATGACTTTTTTGATGAATCGACTTAAAAATCTGCAAAAAATTCCCATCAGCCTCAGCTGTACTTTTGGTGCTGCTTAGCATATGTTAGCATGTTATCACACTAATTAAAGATGAGGAACATGTTTAACATTCTTGAAACATCAGCATCATAATATCGTCAATGTTAACATGATAGCATGCTAGGGTTAGCCTTTAGCTCATAGCATCACTGTGCCTTAAATTCACGCCGTGTCTCCATCTGGATACTCCAGACAGCACACTCGGCTGCTTCGCCCTCACCGGAAATGTTGATCACCACACCACATCATTTCAGACTGCTGAATTAACCCAATATCCATTTTATTTTTTTAAGTATAGTGGCATATTTAAAAAAAAAGCATGTATAACTTTGTTGCTGCGTTTCATACACGGTCTAAATATTTTAGCCGTTATCCCCATATTTAACCCCATATTTTAAAAATACTGTACTTCTGATTTCCAAAGTAGTCAGGCAACATATAATAACTAGTATTAACTAGCATCATCTGGCCACGCTTTGTTCTGTATTTCTATCATAAACCCATCACACTCAAATCTGTAAATGCTGAGTGAAAGAGGATTCCATCCACTCGTATATCATGATGCGATCAGCCTGAATAATGTCAATTAAAGAGTGTCGAGCAGATATAGGCACAGCTACATTGAGCAACACTTTAACACATTATGGACTGCCACACTAAATGAATGCCTTTGATATTTGTCCATAGGGAAGCTGCATATCATGGTCTGTATCCTCTTAAAACACTATAGTGTTTTAAGAGTCAAAATGATCTTGCACAGGGAATTTCTATTTTGTGCTTAATGACATATGGAAATATTTTGACAAGAGAGAAGGCCTTGCTCTTTGATTCGAAGGAACTGACGCAGATTTCTGACGTTTACATTGATGTTTGAACAAGCTGAAAATAAGTATTCTATTACCAGACCTAGCTGCTGGAAATATCTCCCTGTGATGTCATGTTATCTAAATTTGGTCAACACAACAACGGATCAAAAATGCATCGTTTCTATCAGGACAGCAGAGTCACGCCATTCTTTTATAAATGTTTATATGGACTGGCCCCCCCCCCCCCCCCCCTCCCTTAGGGGAATTCATCCACAGAAAACACACTGGACGCTGCACTAGGTCAGAAACCAGAGGAGACTGTGAGGTCCACCGCAGACGGACCACTTTTGGACAAAATGTCCTCTCCGTTAAAGGCAGCTCTTTGTGGAATAGCCTCCCTACTGAGATACGGGATTGTCCCACTCTCAATAGCTTCAAAGGTCAACTCAAAGAATGGTTGAGAAACAAACAGACGTGTAATCACCGCTAAATGCACTTTAACACAGGGGCATCTCCTCTTGCACTTTAGGTAGCTCTTGTATCTTCTCTTGCACTTTACATGTCGTTGCTGCTACATTGTGCTGCCATGTGGTAAATACTTGTATGCTGCTCTTGCTCTTTCTGCATATCATGTATTTATTTTTTGCTATGTATATATATTATATATTATTACATGTTACTTGTTAGACGCTTTTCTCCAAAGCGACTTACATACTCAATACTGTGGACAATCCCCACAGGAGCAATTTGGGGTGAAATGTCTCAGGGACACAACGACATGCTGACTGCAGTGGGGTTTGAACCTGTGCTCCCCTGATCCGAACACCAACGCACAAACCACTGCACCACACGCCTCCGTATATAAATGTCATGTTCTTAAATGTTGTATGTGAGGGACTACGGATGGAAATGAGCTCAAAGCTAAAATCCGGCATATTTACATTTGAAGCATTATTTGTTTAAAGTGTTCATCAATGTCCCTTTTCAAATAAACAATGAAATGAAAAACATAAATAAACTACAGCCGAGCACAAACCCAGATGTTTGTTTTGCATCCACACAGAGCCTTTAGTGAGGAGCTCTGGCTCGGAGCCTTATATTGTGTCTGTAGGAGCGCTTCATCACAGCAAACACTTCCTCACACTCACACTGAGTGTGATCACATGTGGGATTGTTGGTGCTTTTCCTGAATAAGTAAAGCAGCTAAAGACAAATGATGCCGTTTTAAAAAAAGCATAATCTTTTGCATGATTTTGGAATTACAACAAGTATCAAACAAGGGCAGCAACATACAGATTTCTATACACCTTGTTCTTGTGCATGCATACCAATTTGGCCAAGTCATGCACTGTTTTTTATGATCATTGTATTTTTAGCTCTCAGTTAAGCTACAGTATCTTCGCTGGATTCTGGTCCGACCAAGACGAGAAATGGACCTGAAAATGAACCATGTTTGATGAGTTGTCATGCATTGACTGTGACATTCTTTTATGAACATCTCCAAGCTTGACTCCCCAGGGTGCATCTCTCTTGCAGAATGAACACCCACTGTGTTACATTTCTCAAGATACCAGGGTGTCTCTGCAGCTTGTGGGCTCTAAACAAATCAAAGGACTATCTAATCGGTTCTGTTGTCATTGCCTTGGGTGTCCCGTAGCAGTGGACACAACAAAAGCCCTGACCCGCTCTTTCTCAGCTAGATTGCTCATTACTTAATGGAAAAGATACCTTAAGCGGCATGCTGGGGGGTAGGAAAGCTGACTTATCAGAGTAAGACCCAGTGATAAGCTCCTGGGGGGGCTAGGCTAGGCTAACAGGGTTAGCAGTGGCCAGGCATGGGCTCAGACTGTCTGAGAAGGACTGTATTAGGTTTGGTACTGTGTGAAAGCTCGAAGTCCTCAAATAAACCTCCTTCCTGCACCTTCACCTACATCCCATTAAACCCACATCAGCTCAGGTCCTCTAACAGGAGAATGACATGTTGTGTTTCCAGTGAAGAACTGGTGGGGTTAATTATGATTTAGTTTAGTTAAGCTTAAACTGTGACTTCTTCTGGGCATGACAACACCAATCCTCCACACATTGCACATTGACTCCAGCAGCAGCATTCCTTCTCATGGTTAGAGGCAGAGAGTGCAGCCGCTATTTTGACCAGGTCCCTAACCCACACACACAGCTTCTTTTCCAAGTCACAGTTCATGAGTCTCAACTGCATGTCAGGTATGCCATGTGTTTTCTAGAATTGAAGGAGTTAGCAGGGTCTCAACATTTTGCTGCTTCCAGGGCAGCCTGTGGGATGATGGTCTCATCCACTCACAACCATGATCCTGCAGGGCTAAGGCGTTATGGTGAACATAATGTCTGAGCAAAGCTGAGCCCAGAACATCTTGTCTCAGTCCTTATGAGATAACAAACACTCACTCACACCAGACAGTCTGTTTGGGCAGGCTACGGCCCTTTTGCTTCTAAAGATAGTACTCCTTCATAAAGCTTCAGACTATATGCAGTTCCATGGCATGTCTTACAGAGGCCATGTCTGGCCAAAAGTAATGTTTGTACACTTTCAAATACACAATTAAGGTATCTGTTGAATCGTGCACTTGCATGCAATAAGTCCAATAATCGAGACAGTGGAAGAACAGCATCCCTGTGTTCTGAAGGGTACAATTACTGTTACTGTCTTTAGCCAATATCAAAGATACCGGCTGTAAGTTCCCCACGAGAGGATTGTACTTCTGCAAAGCGGTGAAAATAACGTAGTGTACGCATTAAACTGATATTAATACTTTTTGAGTGGGCCATTCTTTTAGGTGGTTAAAATAGCCACCCGTCCACAGCAGTAAATTGATCAGCTCAAGTAACTCAAGTATACTACTCCAAACTGGGGGCATGCAGACCCCCATCTACACTAGGTAATACAATGATTAGGGAAAAGTACCTCATACAAAGCTACCTAAAAACATCCAAACTATTCCTTTGAGTGACTACTAAAACTACATTTAGCTACAAACAACAATGTCTAAATACAAATTCAATCCAATAAGTAAATGCTGAGATGACCTGAAACACAGCACAGATGATTACCCATGTCCTTATTTTTCAAATTAAAAGTAAGTATACACATTTCCAGTCATGGCTACCAGAGGTTAAAGGAGGGAGCGTACCTGTCACAGAGGCTGTTCACGGCCCCGGAGGAGTCGCAGGCGCAGGGCATGCAGCCGCTGGTGCCGTTGGTGTAGTGACCCTCCTCACAGTCCTCACACTGCAGACCAGTGTAGCCCGACAGGCACGAACACTGACCCGTGTTGTGATCACAGTCGTCCGGATCCCGAACCCCCTCAGCACCACTGCTGCAGTTACACACACTCTCTGGGGGCATGAACGGGGGTGGGGGGAAAGGAAGAGACAAGACATTTGAAAATGTTGCATGAGATGTACCAGCAGTGGTATAACTACAGAATGATGTGCAATATATACTTATTTATATTATACATAATATTGTTACAAAAACTCAACATTTATGGCCATATACTGTAACAGGCAGGGTCAGCTTAGTACTGTTTCCCAGTGACATACTGATGTTTAAACTGTCAGAATATAGTACTGACATTAGAATAATATCTGAAAATAAGTTTACTTTAACTGAAGCCTTTATTTTATTCTGCCTAAACAGTCTGCAGAATTCAAGACAGCGTTTACTGTTTCCTGCCTGGTTTACATTTGCACAATAGGAACAGTGATGCACTGTGTTTGGAAATGGAGAACTCATTATGCTGTTCTCTTAAGTACGATATTACAGTGCCAGACTAATGGCGCATTTCCACTACACGGCCTCGCTCGGTATGGCTAGGCCTCGTTAGGCCTTGTTAGGACTGGCTCACTTTATGGCGCATTCCATTACAGTTTAGGAACTGGGGCAGTATCTATAGTAACGCAGTGTAGGCGGAGCCGTGATGTCATCTTCAATGAGAAACACAAAACCAACATCAGCCGTTAGCTGTTAGCACTCAAGCTCACAGCTCCTCATATCTGTTCAGAAACTAGACAAAAGTTAAACAAGTACAAACCACAGACTGTCTGTGTCATGGCGAATACAGTCGCTGGTTTATTTATGTCTGTATAGGCCGTTGTTGTGAGTGTGGACGGAGCATACACTGCGTTAGCTTAGCCGATCTCCAGATCTCTTTAGACAACACGCATTTTAAAAGGTTTTTCTCCTGCCGTCTGTCTGCAGACTTGTCAAAGCATTAATTCATGGTTTTTACTAACCGGTATCAGTATGTTGTTACTTCGGCATCATTTTGAAACGTGTATTACAATTAAATCACGGTCAAATATGTTCATCTTGTTGTAGTTGTAGCCCCCTGGCCAGCGATTCTCTCTCTAGTTTAGCATACTCAGCCCGACTCAGCCTGGTTGTTGGCCCGGAAAGAACCTCGATTTTATGGGGCCAGAGAAACTGTGAAATAGTACCCGCTAGCCGGTACTACGCTAAGTGGAAACGCAACCAAAAACGGGCCCCGCACGACTCGGCACGCTTAAAGCGAGCTCCGCGCTGTAGTGGAAATGCGCCATAACAGTCCATAGACACAAGAAAACTGCAATCAATCAATGTTCCCAATATCAAGTTATTCTACACACTGCGTTTGTGACATCACATCTGTTTTTCAGGGCTGTGTGCAGGGAAGTCACATAGGAGGAGGGCATGCAAGTGTGACCAGACCCAGGAACAGTAAGACAGGAGCTGATCATGCACCCAGCCGTCCCCTGAGCTACTTAAAGCTGCAGAATGCATTCACAGAATTCCTGTACCATCGGCCCTTCGGAGCTGGCCAGTACAACGCCAGAGTTGCTAATTCCCTTTCCTCGAACATATCCCTCTCACCCATCAAGGAATTCAAAAATCTGCATTTTCATGAGCCTGATTCTAACGGCTTTGCTGTAGTGATTCCCAAACTGCGGTACACACACCACTGGTGGTACTGGTACTGGTAGTGGTGTGCACCTGAGAGGTAGAAAAAAGCTTATTACTGAAAAACTTGGCCTAAGACTCTAACTTAAAACCAAAAAATGTTTGATTTATTATAATTGTTTACTGACACGGTTATTTCTTACATACATACATCTCATTACAGTATGTACAAAATATTGTTATTCATTTAAATATTTTAGAAATAGAATTGGGGTGGACATGACAACTTGCTATGACGTTTGAAAAAGCATGAATTAATAGTGCAGTTGGTTTTGGAATTATTGCAGAATGAGTGGAATTTTGAAAGGTTACAAGGTCCAGAAAACAGTTGAGGGACAAGTGAAAACGAGAGAGCAGAGTCTGACCATTACAATGCTAGAGAGTTGCAGAGCAGCGCAACTTCTATCAAGAAATGTGGGACTAACAGAGACCCGGGGAAAGCAAAGGCTGTTTCCAGGCCCTTCCATTGGAACAGTGTTTGTCTGTATCTGCAGTGGGAAGCAGGACTTGGAACATTTGGTTTGGCACATCCTTTCACAAGATCTGAGGAGTTTGGGAACCTCTGCTATTCCACATAAACAACTTCATGGTCATTTTTTTCAGTCAGCTTTTAAATAGACCACAATGCCCTCAAATCCATTTTATAATACAAGATCATATTTTGTATTAGAGGAATTTGCCTAATTTGGCCAGTCTAAAAAAACAAAAGATGGTAAACCTGATGAATCAGTCCAGATGCCAATGATGGATTCTGTACAGTTTGAATGTGACATTGAAGCAGAACACCACTTGTATAGAGCTTTATTGTAGTGTTGTGAATGATCAAATAGAAGCTGTACTGAACATCCACCTCTGAGTCATCGATAACATCTGGTACAATTCATTGTTTTTAAATATCAGTTTAATAATGTCTTCTTCATGCTATAACACATTTTAGTTAAATCATTAGTTTTGAAGATTTGGGCAGAGTTTTTGTTAATTAATATGTTTTTAATGTCTTAGAGCTTAAGAATGTTTGCATTAGGAAAATGGCGGTAAGAAACCAGAGGATATAATGACAGACATGTGGATGACCTCGCAGAGTACGGAGTGGCATCTATTATTCATCTGATCTTAGGCTAGGTGTGGTGAGTGACGACTGAATGCCTGATTATACGTGTCTCCATTCTGCACTCAGACAGATAAAAGAAATGATAAATGGTATACACACAGATTTCACACAATACCTCAGCTAGCAGTTAGATAAAGAGGACCGGACAGCTGAGTTATATTCTATTCCTGTCCCAGTCAGATTATGCTTCCCTTAGACTGTTGCTTGGACTTTTACATAACTAAGCCTGTGGTTATGCAAGTCTGTGCAGTAAACAGTCAGGCCCTTTGCTACAGTGACGTCCACCAGAGCACTGTCTGCCGATCACGCCTGAGAATATGTGACATCAAGTGAATCGACTCCCACACTGCATTCAGGCCTCCTCTAGGTGTGGGGCCCTATGTGGCCATCTTTGAAGCCGAACAACAGGTTTGATGTATATTGGACTAGACCCGTGTAGTCGAGAGGGAAAGGGAGGAACTGAGTTCCCCTCTCTCCTATCTGACTGCTGTGAGGTGGTGTGACAGCATGACTGCTATTGAGACACAGGCAGCTGCAGGCTGTTCAGAACAGGTTGTGGCCCAAAACTCCTCTCTTGCCTAATTCCCAGCCAGTCTGTGCTGCTGCAGAGAAAACAACAGCGGTTGAAGCGTTATTCTGCAAAGAAACAATCGCTCTACTTTACATTTTGGTTAGGGAATCAAACCTTGTTTAACCTTTAGAGAGTTCCTCCTGGAAAGCATGTGAAAACACACCTTACATCTGTCCTCGCGGCCCCTGCCCTGCCAGAGTATAGCAGCGCGCTGGGCGAGGCGTTACCCCAAGTGACGCCTTTGTTGTTCTGATGTTATCATGAGACAGCCTTTAGACTAGAACAATGAACAGTGATGAGGTTCCTGGTGACACTTTCAATAAGGTATCGGGAAATGTTTCATGTGTCATGGGGCAGGTTGCATTTTGGCCTCAGGGCTTAAATGAAGCCAATACAGAGGAGTGATTTAGTAGAGAATGCTAAACCCGCTACCATTTCAACTCAGGCCTCCTTCACACGGGAACGTTTGCGTTTATGCACAGTATGCGTATTCAAAAAAGTATTCCGTTCACATGCATTCGTTTCATTTAACGTGTCTGTTCAAACGAGGCCGCTGGAAACGCTGTAGTACATATGCCGGGACTGTAAGTAAGTGGCGCTGTAACTTCTGCCAAAATACACCAAAAGCAGCGAAGAAGAGCAGCCCGGAGCAGCCCCGCAGCAATGTTGCCATGGCTACCCTTCTGTTTATGCCCCGCGGTGTATTTAGCAACATGTAGTTCATGTAATTCTCCATGTCCACTTGTTGCTGATGGTTGTGGTAGAGGAGCTGTATATTTTGCACTAATATCTGTAGCATGGTCAGTAGCAGTAGCACTAGCAGTAGCTACTGACAGGAGGAAGTGTGTGGCGATTGCTGGTATTCAGCGGGATATAGTCATTTCCTCAGCATATGGATAAATGCAACGGGGAAGTTAACTGAAAGAAACCGAATCTGTGGATATTGCATCGACCGACCAAGAAGCACGTCTCTGTGGAGAGGACTCGCTCAGAGAGATATTCTCTACAAACACCGGGTGAGATCGCTCCTTTGTCAATATAATGGATCAATGCATGAAATCTGACTCTGTTTATTTTGTTTAAGGAGTATATTGGGCGTTAACAATTCTGGTTTGCCTTTTATAATATTATTTCATTCAAGAACCCCTTGTGCGTTTAATTAACACAGCTATTTTTGATAGTTGCTACAGCAGTGAGCAGGAGAGGTGGGGAGAGGTGGGGCTATCGTTATTTTTTCAGGAAATATTCGTATAGAGGTGATTACACGGACTCGGTTGACCCCCCAGAGCGTTTCGTTTGCAAATCTATCCACCTTGGGACCCGTTATCGTTTGTGGGGTCAGTTTCTATCGGCCTCGTGTAAATAATAGGGCTATACGCACGCGAAACTATGCAGATACAAGCAGTTTTCTCCTCGTGTAAACGGCGCCTCAATGACCTTAAAATACATAAACTGAAATAATTATGCCGATCGATAGTTGGGCTCCAACAATTTTTTATTCATTTATTAATCTGGCCCTTATTTTCTTGCTAGGTCTATAAAAGGTCAACCAATGGTTGGAAAAACAGCGTCATAATTTCCTTAAACCCAACGTCTTCTAATGGCTTGTCAGCCCAAAACCGAAATACATTTAGTTTTATGACATATAAGATCATCAAATATTCACAAAGGAGATATATATATATATAGATATAAGAGATAAATAATCGGTGTTCAGCATAATTGCAAAAATCCAAAAAGAAGAACCATTAAACAGAACAGTAAAGAAAATGCAGTATGTGAGTGTTCAGAGGGATATCAGTGCCAGATCAAAACCATCTAAATCTGTTCACAAAAATCCCACCTGACTATTAGAATATTCTATTGAACATCTGGATATCATTAACCAGACACTCAATGTGCATTTTGTGTAATATTATGGAGATCAATCAGACCCTTCATCCTCATAAACATTAGAACCCACTACCAAAAATGAATCCCCCTTCTATCAATGCTGACAGTAAGGTTATATTGAGCACAAAGGCTCAATGTAAAACACATGACTGGATAAACCCTTGATGTGAGGGGCCAATATCAGTCAAAATATGAAATGAAACCGATTTGTTGTGTTTTTTTATTCTGGCTTAGAGGCATTATGAAGTTACAACTAAGTACACAGCATTTTGGAAGACATCAATTGATTTTAAACATGTTAATCAATGAATTGACTTTGAATTTCTGAAATGGTTTGGGAAATTCTCCTACTATTGTGTAGTTTAGGAAGAGGAAGCTCCTTCCCCTTAGCAGGTGGGAACACAACTGTTACGGGTACTGGGTGGGTTTTTTGTAAATTGTGTATTTTCTAATGTATCTTTTGATTTGTATGCATGCTTCTTAATTAATATTAAGCTATAGGCTCGTTACATGCTGTAAGAATGTAAAGTTCCCCTCTGTGGGACGAATCAAGGTATTCTGATTCTGAATAATGAAATGCTTGCACAGACGTTGCCACCCATTACAGAAGCCCTGCTGAGGTGGAGGAGAACAACACATCCACATGGAGACTGGGGTGCTGAGGTGGAGGAGAACAACACATCCATCCACATGGAGACTGGGGTGCTGAGGTGTGAGAGGAGGGGCTCCACAGTCATTGCTCATTCATGGCTTGGCCTGCCTGGCCATTTTGGTTTAAAGGGCCTTGTTCTGCATCTGCCTTGCAACCAACAAAAGAGGGGATGCAGCCGCTATCTGAGCAGCTTCTTTGATTCTCCTTCCATATGAAACACGTCTAACACAAAGGGATCACCGGTCTCCGTGGATGCTGTCTGCAGGGACGGATTGGATACATTGACGGAACAACAACAGGATCATCCTTGCGCCCCTACAGCCCCCCCTTCCCAGTCCACTGTAATATTTGAAACACTTATCCAATGATAAAGGCCCTCTGGAATATAAAATATGCTACACAGCAAAGACATTGAAAATATTTGAGAATAAATTGTTTTTTGTATGTGATACGATGGGATTTGGTGATTTCCCGATTTTCAGGGGGTTCACCGTGCAGTCTGAGAGGTCTGCCTATTGTTGCAATCTGGTTTATTCGGTCCTTCTCTGCGTCAAAACCCCTGTTAGACCACCCTGCTGCTACTACCAGGCTAACATATGCATGGCTTTCTCTTCACAGACTCGTTTTTCTTAACATGAATGTGCCAACACAAAATACGACAAAAAATACATGCAATTCATTTTTATATCGCGTCATATCCAAAAGCTTCTTTCTTTTTTTCCCTTAAATCTGAACGATCTAGTTTGAAATGTTTTGGTAGCTTTTTAATTCAAAGGTAACGTTACTCACCTTGACTATTCTCTATTGAGGTAACAGATGTGCCAATATTATCTGCTGCCCAGGCATCGTTGGCTGTGCGCTGGGAAACCATGGACACCATGGTCTGCAGCCTTTTCTCCGGAGAGAAAAGTGAGGCTTGTGCATCGGTGGATCTTTTGCTTGCGCCGTTTAATCGGTAAATCGGCGCAGTTAACTGTTCTTTTGTGGCTATGATTATTCCAGTATCAGGGGCGGCAGTAGAAGGAGTGGTGGTGGTGGTGGTGGTGGTGGTCTGGTCCGCTGTTGGAGGCTGAAAGGTGTTTGCCGTTTTCGAAATAGAACTAGTGGTGGTCGGGCCGGCAGAAACAATAGCAGGCTGCGGGTTGAGGCCGGCTAGAGGCCCGAGTGCCAGGCTGCTCTCGGGTACAGAACGAGGCATGTCGGTGAAGAAGGTCTCCCAGGTGTCGGAGGCTGAGCCGGGCTTCCTGGAGATAGGCGACGCATCGTAGGGACTGATGCGAGGTGCAGCTTCAGAACATCCAATATATACATACAAAATAAATAGCAGAGCCGGAGATATGTACATCATTAAGGACGTTAGCCTCATATTCACTTTCAGCTCTCCATGTAAGCCCCAGTAGTGGTCTCTCTCAGACCTTTCCCTGAATAGACGCGTACTCCACCATTGATGTCCCCGGCGGCGTACGCTGCTGTTTGTTGCCCTATGAACCACAGTCAACACTTCACCTGCTCTGCAACCTACCATGGGCCGCCCGAGACTGACGTAGTCGTTAGCCAATGGGAGCCCTCCAACATTGCCCGTGAGGGCCCGCTGGTTGGATAATCTTCCTAACAATTTGTGAAGTCATATATTGTAAATCATCAAATGTAATCACCCCTCTGAACATTTTCCACACATAAATGGTTCGATTCAGAAACTGTATTACAGTAAGAAATTATATTGTTAAAGATAGTGTGCCTTCTAGAAACACTTACATACCGTGTGTTACAGTTAAACGCCTCACAGGTATCCTCCCTCTTAGGCTATGTCATAAATGCGGTGGCAGCTTGTTGTGGGATCAATGTTTATAGTGAAAGGTCCAGAAGCTTCCATTGTCTACGCTTTCACACCTCATTATATGTGAATGTATTCTGAAATCACTCACTAAATATGAAATTCATCTTTAATGACTGCCTGGTAAAATAAAGCAGCATCCTCCTCACTGCCTTCAGGTGACTTTAGGCAGGGCCGGCCCTAGACTTTTGGGGGCCCTAAGCGAGCTTTGGCATGGGGGCCCCCCTCACTCTAGCGCGTTCTCACTACACACAACACGGAACCAACTTTTGTCTTATGATGTTAGCATAAGCACACATATTGTATAAATAAGCATGTAAACACCGTGGACCTAACCTCCTCTGGGGGTCCGGGGGCATGCTCCCCCGGGAAGATTTTTTTTTAAATATTGAAGTTAAAAGCATCAATCTGGTGCACTTTGAGAGCAAAATTAAGAGATCTATGGATACATCTCTCAACATCCATATGAAACAGAATTCTAAATAGATTTTTCTTTATGGATATTTTACAAATCATCCTTTTAAACTGTATTCTTGTTTTGTCATATAGTATTTCATAACTTTTTTTAATGTATTCTCTCTGGCTGTCCATCTCATAATGTCCACATAGAAACTAGCTGTCAATAGGAATATCATTCAGAAGAATTATAATTTCATGCAAAAATCTGTCACAAAAAGAGGTTGCCCATTTAAATTCAGGTGTTGTTATGGCAACGTCAGTGGCCAAACAGCCACATTTACTGCTGCAAATACGTTCAAACATGCTGTCGACACGTGGCAACTATGCCACCATTTCAGCTGACTTTTTCTCAGAAATACTTTCACATAACATCCATATATTTCAGTGCTAGGTTGATGCTTAGCTAAGCTAACTATGAAACACTTTAACTGACAGGACTCAGGATCAACTATGTACTGTAAGGTAGCTTCTAGCTTCATGTCGAACAGTAAGTCAACATTTCCTAGAGAGCTTTCTTTGAAATCACCAGGTAACGCCAAAAAACATTACATTTAGATTGTATGACAAAGTGTTTATTTAAAGGGCCCATGTCATGGCCATTTCCACTGATCATAATTACATTGTTGAGGTATACTAAAATAGATTTATACTGTGCAATTTTCCAAACTCACATTGGTTTCGCATACAACATCTCTGTAAAGTATGTGTATTCAGCAGTATTCACTCTCTCCACTAAACGACTCGTTGGAGCTCTTGCCCCCCCCTCCCTGTGAGCCTAGTGTGCTCCGATTGGTCAGCTCGGCCACTCTGTTCTGATTAGTCAACCACCAGAGAGGCTCCGCCCATGTCTAAGAGTGCTTTTTTCGGCTCGCTCTCAGAACATCAGTCTTATAATGGCGTCGGTACAGCCGTATATTTTATACGCTAACTAACTGAACTGTACCAACAACTGTTGTTATAGAAGAGTGTGACGGCCCCAGGGCCTTTGTGCAGGTGTGTTGCAGGTCTTACGATGGGGTGGAGCTGAAGAGGCTAATCAGCGCGATCACGGACACCTGGCCGGAGCCGAGGTGCTATTAAGCCCAGCTGCCTGGAGTCACACGGCGGCCCCTGTCTCTCTCCAAAGCGGCTGTAGAAGGACGAACTCGGCGATCCTCTCCCCTCGACCACCTATCTCTGCATTTACCACAATAAATGTGCCGTGGTTTTGTAAACTCGTGTATGTCTCCTTGTCTTTCCGTTGTGGCCTACGAGCCGGTCATAACAAAGAGTAAGTTATTTTTACCTGTAATAAACTACTACTGTTTGATGAGAAATCAAATCATGGTTTGCTATATATGAATGATATGTTATAGGAGCAAATAATTCAGGGAAGAAAGGATAGGCCTACTAAGTATTTCCATTAAACTTTATTTTTAGAAATGTACAAAATGAACATAAATATACATATATACACGGTATATCATCAATTCCTCCCCGTTGTCGGCATCTTGCCTTTCGCAGCCGGGGCTTTTTAGGACGATGCATCAGTGTGGTAGTCCCGTCATGTATTGTCCGGCAGGATCTGGCTGGACGAAATCAAATGCAAATCACAAAATATTAGAGAAACTTAGTTGTTTTAGATTCGTTAGTAGTAGTTGTGGTAGGAGTGTGGAGTAAGCTTGCCAGCTAATATGCTAACCTAGCTTTGTTTACTTTGGTAGCTAACAGGATATGAACACTAGCTCGGAGGAACGGCAACTATAATGTAGAGTAATAAAACTACTATGAACAAAAGCTAGTGGTTCATATTAGGCTAGCAATAACGTGTTTATAATTGCAATCTTATACGGGTAGTCTGCTACGTTCGGTCATACAATGTTTCTATATAATCAACACAGTAAGCTTGCCAGCTAATATGCTAACCTAGCTTTCTTGTTTACCTTGATAGCAAACACGATATGAACGTTAGCTCGGAGGAACGGCAACTATAATGGAGTGTAATAAAACTACTATGAACAAAAGCTAGTGGTTCATATTAGGCTAGCAATAACGTGTTTATAATTGCAATCTTATACGGGTAGTCTGCTACGTTCGGTCATACAATGTTTCTATATAATCAACACAGTAAGCTTGCCAGCTAATATGCTAACCTAGCTTTCTTGTTTACCTTGATAGCAAACACGATATGAACGTTAGCTCGGAGGAACGGCAACTATAATGGAGTGTAATAAAACTACTATGAACAAAAGCTAGTGGTTCATATTAGGCTAGCAATAACGTGTTTATAATTGCAATCTTATACGGGTAGTCTGCTACGTTCGGTCATACAATGTTTCCCGCTAGCATGTATAGCTAGCCTCGTTAGCTATACATGCTATCAGCGTCGGAGGAAAGCTAACTGTAATGTACAGTCCTTTGGGGGTCTGTCAGCGGGCAAAGAGAGGGGATTTCCCCGTTGTCTCTGCTGGAAGTGTGAAATAAACTTAGTTGTTTGATGTTCGTCAGCTTGCCAGCTGGATTACAATGCTAATCTACGTTTGCTAGTTGTTCAGTTGTTCAATATGCTATACTATACTATGAACAACAGATAGTGGTTCATATTAGGCTATCAAGCACATGTTTACAATTGCAATCTTATATGGGTAGTCTGCTACATTCATTGTAGCTGGCATAAAAAAAATGTTTTTCCGAGCAAACTCATGTCTAGCTCTTAGTAGCCTTGTTGTTTAGCTCGGTAGCATACACGCTACGCCAGCTATAATGTAATTACGTTTCGCGACTGACTGTACGGCAAATCACCCGGAGTATACTGTCTATGAGTATTTCATGTGTGAATGCAGACATTCTCCTGCTATGAGATACATGTATGTAAGGCCATCTGCTGATATTAGAGTTGATATGGAAACGCTAGCAACTTAGTTAGCACAGTTAGCACTGGCTTAGCAGTCTGAAACATGTTTACACATTTAAACAGTCGTGGTAGATACCTTGTTTGATAAATACACAAATAACAATGCAAACTTACAGGTTGTGTACCCGAATCTTCCCCTGCTCCAAACGGTCCAAACAAACTAGGAATAGCATCGTCCTTCAGTTTCAAATGCTGTGCATATCCGGCCTCAAACTGGGCAATGTTTTGGAAGCTTTCGTCTGTGAAATGCCGGTTCTTCGAACCTCTGAAGGAACAGTGTTAAAAAGAAATTTCAACCACTGACTTTGTCGTGGTTCTTCCGTCGGTAGGACAAACAGCTCAGATTTCTCCTTACATTTCAGGAAACAGGTCCTTGGCATTGGCATGACTGGATCGATTGTGAACTGAACCAGAGCTTCCAACAGTAAATGTTAGGCTGGCAGAAGGTGCGGCCAGCGCCGCTGGGTGTGGCCATAGCTCTTCGGGATTGGTCCATTTCGTTCCGGGTACCGCATGACATCATGCCGTACCCGGAACTAAATGGAAGACTCAAATGGGCAGTGACGTATCTCCAACGAGGCGTTTTGGGGAGGTATTTTCTGTGTTAGAGTTTTACTCGCTACAGGGTGTACTTTGAGGGTTTTGACTCTGCACACCGTTTACATGCATAAAAACCTTCATAACACACAAGGGGACGGGTAATAACCGGAAAAGCATGACATGGGAGCTTTAATATATCTGGCTAGCTATAGCTAGTTGCTAACGGTTTAGCTTACCCCCGCGATTCAAAGTAACGTCAACGTAGCTTTAATTTATGCTTTGCTTACATGTTTGCATAACTTGGAAGTTTACTGACATTTACATTCTTTGTTTACCTGGCTCAAGTGCTGGCTCTGGGGTTGTTGTGAGCCACCACTTGAGAATTGTCGTCTTTTTTAAGAAAAAATGTTCTTATGTCCATCTTCAAAAACTCTGAGTCCGACTGACAGTTTATTTTAAACATTGTCACAGCTCACAGGATAGGTACCTGTCAGCCAATAAGACAGATGTTTATTTCCATTCAACTCTCTGGTTGGTCTGGTGTCTTGCCTCTGTTGCATTCACTCAACACGGGAAATTACAATCCTGCCGTCCTCTCTAGTGTCATGATGAGGTTCAGGTAAAGCACAGTTAATGTATTATATTATTGACTCAATAATATAATACATGACTATGAGAGTAGGCAATCTAGGCATATTAACAAAATGAATTAAACGTACTTATCACGGCGACGGTGTACTGAGATAAAAAAAAGAATT